CTTGATTTCCCTACTTACAGGGAGGAAAATGCTGTTTTTTTCCCTCAAATTCTCATTATCAAAACGTAGTTGAGAGCTATTTAGGATGCTTTCCACTGTGGCGGTTCCTAAACATCAATCTCCCACCTCGGGGAGGAAGAAGAGGCCAAGTTTCCCATGCAACACGGCGTCTCGCAGGGAGAATGGTACTCAGCACATTTGGGAGCGTGCCTGGAATAGAAACAATAAATTTAAGGGCAGAATGCAAGCGTTGCAATTCGATTTTAACAAGTCTGTGGGTGCAAGAGCCAGAACAGAGTCCAGGCTCTTGCTTTTTTTTTTTTTAGCTGTGTTAGCTCCGAGAAGGCAAAGGGGAAATCCCAACCCAAACTTTACTTTAATCATTAAAGCGAGCAGATTTGAGTCAGTACCCCCGTAGAGCAGATCTGGCACGCTGCCACCATTACACAGTCCCTTTCCAGAGCGCTTGCCTTGCACTTTAAAGGATTTAATCCACTAAAGAGCCCCAGATGGATTTAATCACCACAAAATGCTTCCAACACAGTCGGATGACAACTGCTCTTGGGGACAGACTCTTTATTGTTTATAATGCTCCTTGGAGTGCAAGAGGCTATAAACATCATAGGAGGGGAGAGACAGTTATATAACAAACTGGGAGGAGGGAGGAGAATTACATCCTCCTAACGCGACACAGATGTCCGCTTTCCTTGCTGCGGAACTGAGTCACTAGTAGCTTTCTCCCTGGCGCGCTAAGCCAGCTCCAGCTGCCCGTTCTTCAGCGGGGAGAGCGGACGGTTCGTGGTCCGGTTGAAAGTGTCGACCTCTGGCACAAATTTCTCGGCAGGAACCACCAGCTTTCTCCGGCTGTCCATGCACTTGTTGTCCAGCATCAGGGAATTGGCTTTGTAGCCAATATCTGTCTGAAGGCGGTGAAGCTGTCTGTAAAGAGCGTCCAAGGCATCCCTGGGAACAAGCAGGAGCGAGAGGCGCTGGGCTGAAGCGCTGCATTCACTGCCCGAGTTGGACAGGAAACACCCAACTTCCCACTTTCTGGCAGCAGAAACATCTGTGCTGCGCTTGCCTTTGTACGAAGCATGAATGCACCGGGTATTTCTCGGTGCACAGCAGCGGCATTGTTCAGGGCTGGGAGCAGCAAGCCCACATGCTGCGCCTGGAGTGCAGCGCAAGGATGTGAACCCCGGAGCCCACGCCAGCCCAGGGCAGTGCTTCTGTTTCTTCCTTTGCTTTTCACCCGTTATTTTTCCCTTTTAGAACTATCTGCGCCTGGTTGAAGGCAGAGTCACGCAGGGAGCGTGGGAACCCCATTCACCCTCCCACTGCGCAGACCCCTCCAGCCTTGCCCCCACCCTGCTGCCCCATCCAGCTCCCCCTGACCCCAAAGACCATTTCCACCCCTGATGTGAGCAGACAGGAGCTCCAAAGCGCAGCTCCTGGAAGAGCACCAGGCCCCGGGCTGCACACAGCCACGTCCCTCACGCGGGCACTGCTCTGCGCAGGGAGCAGGAGACTCACTGCAACTCTGCCAGCTTCAGTTTGAGCGCACGGATGGTCCCCTCCAGCTGGTGGACCTCGTCTGTCAGCCCGTACTGGACCTGCGAGGTGGGAGGGAGGAGGGGATGGCAATTAACGGGGCTGCAGCATGTTACAAAGGCCCGAGATCTCTCACTCCCCTCCTGGCCCAGCTAGGACATTGATTTCCTTGCTTTGCTGGGTGACTGTAGGATCCATCGCTCGCTCCCTCTGGAGTTTTTTCCAAAACACATCCACGTTTTCAGATCCACGCAAGCCCCCTGACCAGTGCCCCCGTCCCTCCTGGCAGGGAGCGTGCCAGCTGCAGCCGGTACCTGATCCCGGCAGCGCTCCATCCCGGGCCGGTACGTGCGGGTCTCCAGGCGGGTGTGGGCCACTTTCAGATCTTTCGTTTTCCTTCGAAGATCTTCCTCCAAATGTCGGATGTCTTCCTCCATCTCAGCAATTTCCTCCAAGGTCTGCAGAAAAAGACACGTATCACGAGGGATGGCCGTGGGAAACAGACTGAGAAACAGCCCCCACACGCGTTGGGAAGGGATTTTAAACAAGGGCTGGGGGGCTTCTGGGTGCTGAATCCCTCTGCTCATTGATCAGGCTCTTCACACAGACCCGGCATGGTGCTGCTGGTGCTTTACAGCCACAGGTTGAGGCCACGGGTGAAATAAAAAGGCCAAAACCTGGCGCCGCTGCTGGGAAAGGCCAGAGCAGCTCCTGTGCTGGCAGGAGGAGGTGGGATGTCGTAGGGATCACACATGTGCCACTTAACAGCCCTTGGGTGGAAACAGTGCTCAGGCCAAGTAGCTTTCCACGTAACAAACATCCTCGTGGATTCAGTTCCCACCCAAGGCTGTGTTTGATAACCGAAGAAGCAACACTTACATTTTGCTCCTGCCACTTCAGCTCATCATAGGCTCTTTCCAGGTCTCGAATCCTCTTGCGCAGGGCAAACTCGGTAGCTACACGCTGAGCCTCCAGGTCGTTGTTAGTCTGAGGGGAGAAGAGGCTCCAGTCACACACACCTGGAAGCTGTCTCCCTCCCTGCAGCTGCCAATACGACCGGCACATGAGATGACCTCCCGTGAGGCTGGGACAAGCCCATGAGCAAAACCAGCTGGTTTCTGGCTGCTGCCACGTGTGTGCAGGTCACACTCCCTCCTGCAGCCAAACGGCAGGGAACGACAGACAGGTACGTGTCTTCCAGGTTGCTGAGACCGCTGCGAGCTCCGCAGCATAACCGAGCTGCCCTTTTAAAGCACGAGGGCAGCTGCTCTCAGAGAGGAGTTCAGACTCTTTAAAATGCCAGCCCGTTCTCCCGCACTGCACCCAGAACTTCTGCACCACGATTCACAGCCGAGGGACAGCTTTACCTGCGCAATGGTGAGCACTGTTGCTTCTCGGAGCGCAGTCGAGGCTTTCATTTCTGCCTCAGCTTGGTCCTTGGTACTCTGGCTATTCTGTTCCCACTCGCCAAGTGCAGTTGTTCTGTGAACAGATCAGCAGTTAGGAAAATAAGTTGAGTGTTTGCAAGACAGTTCAAAAGGAGCTACCTGCTGCAGGCTTTCTGCAGCACAAAATGGTTCAGGAATTCTGGAGGTCACATCCTGTCTGATCCCCTCACTGCACCAGCTGGAGATTGCTGCTCCATGGCTCCTGCACCAAGCCCAACAGCTGCTCAAACCAGGGACACATCCAGCCATGCTGTGATGTGCCAGGCAAGTGAAAACGTGCAGCAGCTCCCCCACAAGCTGTGCCAAAGGCTGAAACCACACTGCTTACTGAATGTCACCTCCAGCCAAGCACCAGAGAGGCAGGGCAGCCTCTGTTTTTGCGGAGACAAATTAGATAACTCCCAAAAATCTTTGGCTTTACAATTCAAGAGCCACAACAAATCCGAGCAGCCAGTTCCAGTTCTGAGCTCTCTCCAAAACTGCACTCATCAAGCCAGGATACAGCATGGAAGGTAAAGCATCCCAGGGCTCTTTCAAGCCCCAGCGCGGATTTGCCCGCACAAGGGCAGGCTCTTTCCTTACCTGTCTGGGACCCGTGTTGGGTTGACCTTGAAGGAGATGTTGGGAGAGTTCACGTTGAGGGATAAGCACACACGATCTATTTCCAACGCTTCCATCTTGCGCCGGTGGTCGCAGCTCAGCTGCTGGCGAGCTTCCTCCAAGAGGCTGCAGAGAGCAGGGCGGGGGTCAGCAGGGAGCACGCAGAGGGGAGCGGTGGCTCACGATTTCCAAAGCTTTCACCACCACCTCAGTTATCTTTTTAAAACAAGCAGTGAGCTCCTGCCCTCCCTGTGAACTGGGCACAGCCTGCTGAAGCAGCACGCCTGCTGTACTGCCTGCCCCATGCTCTGCCCTGGCAGTGCCCCGGTGAGCTGAGCCGCCCACCCTCCCAGTGCCTGGCTTGCCTGCCCATCCCAGCGTGGCATCAGAGGCAGATTAAACTTCTGGGGCCAAGCAAGGAGGGCAGAGTCCAGCCAAAAGCCGTGTTATTTGCCTCACCAGAGCTCTTTGAAGGCTTCGTTCACTCTCTGCTGCAGTTCTCTCTTCGCTTTCTCTATCACCTTCACCTCCTTGTGCAGCTCGTCCTCCACAGGGTCCCTCACCACGTCGATGGCGCGGCGGCTCTCGCGGAGCGTCAGGCACTCAATGGAAACGTCCAAAGGCAAGTTCTTCGCCTGGAGAGCGCATTCCGCTGCTTCTTTCACCTGGAAGAAGAATAGCTGGGTATGTCTGGGGTCTCCTTCAGGGATGGGAGGAAGCAAGGAAGGGGAACCCACAAATCCCCTTGTTCAGAGGGCTTTGCACTGCCTGTCTTTGCAGTTCTGAAACCTTTCAGCAAGTCTGGAATGAAAATGGTGAGAGCCAAACACGAGTCCTCTACATCTGCTATTTGCACTGGGAATCACACCTCGCTGAGGGCTAATGACTCCAGGAGCAGCAGCCTCTGGGTTTAGTGAGTCCTCTACATCTGCTGTTTGCACTGAGAATCACACCTCGCTGGGGGCTAACGACTCCAGGAGCAGCAGCCTCTGGGTTTAGAGCTAAAAGAATCAGAGCGATGTCCCACTGCTATTCTCTATTTAAAATCAAACATTTTTCAATGGGGGCGTTAACATACTTCTCGTTATCCTTCAGAGCTTTAAAAAAAACCAAACGAACAACAAAACCCACTCAAAAATCCAAATATGAACATGCAGTGCACAGCTCCATAACACTGCTTGGCTCACCCAGGAACACAGTGGCTTGCTCTCAGGAAGCCATTTCATCAGGTGTGGATCTCAATATACCTGCGACAACCCCCCCCTTGAGCTCCATATGGGCTTGCCCATTGCAGAAGCCAAGCCTTAATTATTTAACATCCCATGTTGAAAGTGTAAATTGATTTCCAACCATCTGTCTTCCCAACATACTTTGGCTAAGGCATCGATTTCCGTGTCTATGTCTGCAAGGCATTTGTCCAGGGTCTCTTTCCATCTGTTCACGCTGCTGATACGTTCAGCCAGGCGGGTTTGGTTGTCGTGTTCATCCCATTTTGTCTGGAATTAGAAAAGAAACGCCATTATTCTTTTTTGAATTGCAATTGTGAACCTTGCTGAAGCCTGTCCCTGTTTTCAGGATCGACTGACCCCTCACAGGAGTACAACACGTTGCCACATGGTCCAGTAGTCATCTACACAAAGGAGAACACAGAACACCACACAAGTTGCAACGGATGTGAGAATCATATCCAAGGATTTCATGACGGTCCACATGCGTCATTGACATAGGTTTACAAGATATAAATGCACATATTTAGCAGTTCTGTAGAGGTAAACCCTTCTACTATTCCCTCGTCCATACACCCAGAACTCTACCCTCTCCCACACTCCTCAGCCCG